AAGAGAAAAGCGCTTCTCTCCAGCGCAGTTCCTGCGGTGAATAGAAGTACAAAGAACTCTCCGGAACCAACAGAGCAACCACGCAACAGAAAGTTCAGAAACAGAAACTAGCAGAGGGCAGACAAAATTAGAAACCATCGAATATCGAATGATAAAGATTCTTCTCCCAAACAAAATAGAGTCATCAGCATCAGAGTGAGAGCTAGAACACCCAATCATTTATGTGTTTAATATGCCAGACAGGAAAGTGGAGCCTTTTCCCCGAGTGATACAATGCGACTATGCTTTTCAAAGTGTTTCGTAAATTTCAGAATGCTCTACAAACGTAAAGAATTGCATCAGTCCCTGCATAGCCTGTGTGCAGAAGGAAGGGCACTCAGACCTGTCCCGACCCCACTATAGGGTCTTTGGCTTCATAACTGTAAGATTATAATGACCAAACATCCATGGACACTTCTGATTCCCAATATCGAGTGCTTCTCTCAGGCAATGTGTCATGATTTACGGATGTGAAAATGTGGTCCTTTCATGTCCTATCCAGCAACAGCCCTTCCTTAAACTGTGTCTATTTTGCCAGGGGCTGTAGGTGCGGGGACAGCCCTTGTGAAGCCTGAAGGGTGTCTGTTTGCCATGAATTGTGCCCCCATCTGATGTCCCAGTCTTACCACCCCAGGTAATGGGAGAAGTATTGGGTCAGGGACCTGGCAGCAGGCACCATCCTTGGAGCAAAGGCAAAGTCCAGCCTTCCACAGATGGCCAAGGCAAGTGAGAGATAAGAGTTATACTTTGGATTCCAAGCCGGAGAGCCTCGGGGGGTTCCAGGGCCCCTATGCCCCTTCTGCTGTCAGTCTCACTCCCCTGCCCGGTTAAAGAGGCAGGGGGAGGAGGGGATAGCTGGCCATTCCCTGCACCCTGAAAGCGAGGTGACACCTGCCGAAGATCACTCAAGTCATTCCCCTCGCCGCCTTCCCCAGCGCGCACAGTCTTGCATTTATGCCTCCTGATTCTGGCGCCTCGCGAGGGTCTAGCTGAGAGAAGAGCGCGTGGGGCTGGAGCCCGGGCCAGGTGGGTGATAAGCTCAGGTGCAAAGCAAAGAGGGGAGAGAAGACCCTGCGAAGAGAGCGATCCTTGCTAGGGAGGGTGGTGTCTGCGATCCGGGCAGGAGCCCCTCAGTCCCCAGGGCCCCACGGGCGCCCGCACTGCGCCGCGGGTCGGGTGCCTGCGGAGAGAGGGCGGTACCTGCTGGTGTCCCCGCCCTTGTCCTGCCACCTTCCCTCCTGCCTGGCCCTGCGCTGCTCTGACCCGGTCCTGCGGGCCGCTGGGTCCCAGACCCAGGCCGAGCAGCTGGGCTGGCGTTGCTGAGGGAGACGTCGGCGAGAGGGAGCCGGGCGGGCTGGCGCCGGCAGCGCAAGTGGCGGGCGGCGGGCGCCGGGACACCTGCAGGCACAGGTGAGCAGACAGGGGCGGGGCGGGCAGGGGGCGGGGGCTAGGCGGGGGGCGCAGGGGTGAGAGACGAAGGGAAGCGCTGTCAAACCTCAAAAAGGACCATGGGTAGAAAGACTGGGAGAAACAGAGCCCTTGGAGGGAGGAGTACTGTGGCGGAGCCTGGGAGACAATGACCGCTTTCCTTCCTGCTTGTAAATTAGAGAAAAAAGTAGGAAGAGGGAGGATTAGGGACCTCGGGCCCACCTGGAGGGGAACCAGCACCTGCTTAAGAGGCCTCTCCTCTCCAGGCCCTGCCCACTCAGAGTGGGTCCTCTACTCAGGCGGAGGGGGGAGGAATGGAACCCTACACCTGGCCCCCAGCTCCGTGGAGGTGTTCCCAGAGGCTGGGAAAGACCGAATGTAGCCCAAAACCAGAGAGACCCTGATTCCGCTAGACTCATCTCTAAGGTCAACGGCTTGATAGCTGTCCTTCCCTCACCTCCTTGTCTGTGGCCAGGAAGGTCCAGGTTAAGAAGTGGACAAACTGTTCAGTAAAGGGCCAAATAGCAAATCTTTTAGACTTTGAAGTCTATATGGTCTCTGTCGAAACTAGCTGGAAAGCAGTCAGAGACCATCTGTAAATGAGTAAATACGGCTGTGTTCCAATAAAACTTTGTTTATGGACACTGAAATGTGAATTTTATATAATTTTAATGTATAATTAAATAGTATACTTCTGATTTTCTTCAACAATTAAAACATGTAAAAAGCAGACTTAGCTTACAAGCAGGACAGAAACAGTCTCCTGCCCGCCCTCTCCACGGCCTCTGTGCAGCTTTTCCCCAGGCTAGGTGTGGGGAATGACGGGAGAAGATAACTAGATGCAAAGGGAATCTGCCCACCTGGGGGCATCCGGGAAGCTAGGGACTTGTCTGTCACCTTGTTCCCAGCTACTCTTAGGACTACAGCATCATTTGAGACCAATGCGGGAGCTATGTGAGGGTGGATGTATAGCTCCAAGGGGCTTTCTACCCAGCATGTGGGGGCCTTCCCCACCCCCACCAAGTCATAGATGAGGAAGCCATGATTCCCCAACAAGTGGCCAAGCCCTTGACCCTCGACCCTCAAAACCCACCCCCACCACCTTGGTCTCAGGCCTAGTGCCACCCATTGATCAAGGGCGCCCCTTCCATTCCTTCATTTTCTCTTTGCAGCCTCAGGAGACCCCTTTCTCCTGGACCTTGGAACTATGACACTTTGGAGGTGACTCAGGAAAGAAGGGATGCAGGCCTTTGGACCTCCAGATGAGGGTCCCCTCCAAGGATTTGTGGACTCCCACGTTGAGACGTATGGGGGCCAGCACTGGGCCTCTACCCAGAGTCCTGCTGGCAGTCTCTACCCCCGAGGAAGCCCCATGCTGGTGAGTCCAGGCTGTGCCCCAAAGGTGACCTGGGTGGGGCAGGAGGGTGGATGCCCAGGCTTTCAAGCCTCTGCCTTTCACAGGTCCGTGGGCTGCTCTATTCCTATCCCTCACCCTACCCTCTTTCCTGGGTTGGGAGAAAGGGGAAGGCAGAGCTGGGCCAGACTCCACACCCACCCCAGATAGATGGGCCATGCAAAACAGAGAGCCAGGAGAAGTCAGGCTCTCAGAGGAGGTGCTGTTAGACAGGTCTGATTCAGGGAGCTGGGGAGCTTTGCCAAGCCCTGGGGATGGCACCTCCCAAACTCCTACCTCTACTTGGGAGGAGCCTGTGGGTTCCCTCTGAGTCAGGGCTGAGGGAAGAGCAAAGGTTCAGAGTGTCCCTACTCTGCACGTGGGGAGGGGTGTGGGGTCTCCCTCTGCTCTGCCCTGGCTCCACCCTCCTGGCCTGCTTCCAATGTTGACCAAAGAAATGGGTGTGAAGGCCAACGGTCTCACCCTCAGCCTCCAGGCTTCCCTCCACCTTGAGAACAGTTCTCCTTCCTATTGGGGGTATCCCCAGCCTTACTGGAGGAAGATATGGCCCTGGGAGACAGGGAGGACAGCTAGGGACTCTCCCAGGCTGAGGTGGGGGAAAGGAGAATAGGAAGTCTGTGGGGTAAATCAGGCCACAGGCAGATCAAGGAATGTGACCAGGCCTGTCCAGGAGGAGCCTTGTGGCCACAGCCTCAACCTCTCACATGGAAAGGCAGCTGCTCCCCACTGGATGGCACACAGGCTGCACGCCTCTGGGGAGGAGCCTCACATGTGTGTACCCTCATCCCCATGTACCAGGGAGGCTGTTCACAACCCAGGGAAGCTGTAAGGGACCCAGATATAACATATACCATGCATCGTGTGTGCAAGCCTGTGATATAGGGAGCACACACGTGAGTGGACAGACATGGGGAGACACACATCAGAGCCCAGACTTGTGCATACCTGTGCACCTGCTCTGCAGGAGGCCTCTGCTTCTGTCCCTGGGCCCACTCAGGAGCCAGCTTAGCATGTCCCTGCCCAGCTTACTTGGCCTCCCTGGCAGCAGCCACTGTGACTCAGGGCAGGAGCGGCTCACACCAAACTGGTTTGAGGGGACAAGTGAGTCAGCTCAACCTGCAGGGGTGAGGGATGCTCTCTGGGGTGAAACCTGGCCCCCATACCTCCCTAGGACTTCTGGGGGAAGGGAGGCGACCCCCCCAGAACTTCCCTTGCTCCTCCCCCAGGCTCCCTATCACCTACGCCTCCAAGACCATGTTCCCTTTGCCAAGGGTTCTGTCCAGGCCCAAGGCCTGTCTCCTATGAGGTCTCGAGAAGCAGAGCCTGAGAAGAGGCATGGAGTTCATTTTGGGGTTGGCCCACCTCACTCCCCCAAACTCAAGGTAAGGGGTCCCTCTCCTCCCATCCCTTGCTCACAGCCTGAGCTGCGATGTCCTCCTCAGACGATCAGAGCTGAGAACGCAGGCAGCCCCTCCAAGGCGCCAGCTTTAGCTCTGTCTGGAGGCCCTCTCAAGGACACATCCCTAAGCCATGCCGCCTCAAAATATGCACGTTATGGGCAAATGTCAAAATGCTGCCTGAGACCACTGGTTCCCTAAGTCCTCTGAAGGGTTCTGTCTTAAGAGACCTCTAAAAGGCATCTTTCTGGTCAGGGAGCCCAGGTCAGATCCTCTGTCCAGGGACCTTTCTGCAGTCCATGTTCCAGCAAAGCTTCTTCCCCTGTAATACCAGCCGGGGTCGATCCCTACCCCCCATCTTCTGTGTCCTCACTCACTCTCAATGCTCACACACACACACGTGCACACGCAGCCCTCTCTAGGCCAGTTGGGCTGGACACCCAAGCCATGGCCAGGACTGATCTCGTTCTCAGCTCCACCAGGAAGTCACCAAGGCCCGTGAGTTGGAGATGAGGCTGCATACGTTCAGCATGTTTGGGATACCCCGCCTGCCCCCTGAGGACCGGCAGCACTGGGAGATAGGAAAGGGTAGTGACAGTGGCCTGACCATTGAGAAGTCCTGGAAGGAGCTGGTGCCTGGGCACAAGGTAGGCCTGTAACACAGCGTCTGTGCGCATGGAGTCACGGACACACATACATACATCTCACCTCTGCCTCTTCCCAAGGGAAAGGCCTTGGGAGATGGGTCATGTGGGGAAAGCATTTGGAGACATCTTGCTCTAGGTTCAAATCCTGATTCTGTCACTTACTAGTAAGATCTTGATCAAAATAGCAAGCCTCTCTGAGCCTCGGTCACCTCCTCTGTAAAGCGGGGGTGACATCACCTACACACTAGAGGATTGGTTTGAGGATTAAAAGGTCATCTATGAAGTAGATCCAGTAGCATTTAACTAATAGTAGCTGCTGTTCTTGTCATCGTTCCCCAACTGAACCAGCCCTATCCCCACCCCAGGAGATGAGCCGGGAGCTTTGCCACCAGCAGGAAGCATTGTGGGAGCTACTGACCACTGAGCTGATCTACATGCGAAAGCTCAAGATCATGACCGACGTGAGCCTCCCTCAGCCCCCGCGCAGGCCCTATGCTCAGCCACGTACCTATTTCCCTTGCATTTTTCCCAATCCTCCCAGACCAGAAGGGGCAAGGTTGCTGAGGGAGGAAGGGGCAGGAAACCAAGAGATCCCCCTGACTTGAGACCTTCCCGGGATCTTGGGAGAGAGGTTAGCAGTGCTGACGTTGCGGGGCGAAGATGCATTGAGGGGCCAGGCCGGGGTCCTAAGAGGAGGAAGTCGGGTGCTCAGACCCTCGTCTCTCCCTGCATCTAGCTCCTAGCTGCTGGTTTGCTGAACTTGCAGCGAGTCGGACTGCTGACAGAAGTGAGTGGCAGCTCGGGCGGGGAGCCTGGTGCATCTGAAGCTCTGCGTCCTGAGAGTCGGGGGGCGGGGGGTGAGTTGGGGGTGGGGATCACAGAGAGCCTTCCAGGCTGCCCAGTCTAAATTTCCACTGCCCCATTTTCTAGGAAGCCCCCTGCCCTCCCTACTCCCCTTCTTGCTCTAGATCCCCAGCAGGCCACGGGTTCCACCCCGCCCCACCCCCATCCTCACCTGTCTGTGGCCAATGCTGCCTGATGATGACCTGCTAAGGCATGTTGCTAAATTCTGCTCCCTCCTCCAGGTGTCAGCTGAGACCCTGTTCGGAAATGTCCCCAGCCTGATTCGAAGTCACCGGAGCTTTTGGGAAGAGGTGCTTGGGCCTACCCTGAGGGAAACTCGAGCCTCAGGCCAGCCTCTGGACCCTGTCAGCCTACAAGATGGCTTCCTGGCGGTGAGGCGTGGCGAAAGTTTGGATAAGCTGAAGGAGGAGGGATTGGGATTGCCCAGAGGGGTACGGTCTGCGGGGTGTGCCTATGCAGCTGAAATCCTTCCATGACTTGACGGGGTCCAAGTGTACAGCCTCTACCCTAAAATATCATCTCACCTCCTGCCCTTCATTCTATAAGTATGACCCCTGTCCCAAAGGTTCTTTGGGCTTCTGGAGACCCTTATTATATGAAAATGCAGCTGTCTCAGGGAAGGGTTGTACCTAAGCTCTTATCAATTATAAGATCTTACTTCTTGGACAGAGATCCATTGACAAATAGCTGGGAACAAGAATGGGGCCTCCCTGAGGTGTCCCCTAGGGGGCTAGGGGAGAGGGTATAAAAAGCCACATATACACACACCTAGAGCATGGAGAAGTACAAGAGAAAATGAGAGGCCCAGGATCAGATTTTTTTTTCCCCAATGTTACCCAGCCAGAAAAATGTGGGCCTTGCAGAGTCCGAATGGGGTAGAGAGGTGGCGGGACAGCCTCTTGAGAGCCTGGTGGCCCCCTTCCACATGACAGGGCTCTGGGCAAGCCTCAGGTCACCACCCCGCTACCTAGTGAAATTGGATCTGCAGTGTCCTGAAAATGTTCCAGCTGAATTATTGATGACAGGAGTAAGTTCAGAGCAGCAGAGCACAACAGGGGCTGTACACAGAAGCTCAGAGAGCAACATTGGGTCAACCTTTTGGGACCTCAACAACTCTTTGGAATCCAGAGAGAGGGGCTGGCGGTCATGGGAGGTAGGGATTGGCAGGAACTAGACTAAAGATCTACGAGGGGCTGTCCGCATCCCCCACCCCTGCTCCTCAGGTTCTGCAGCTGAAACCTGTATCTCATGACCTTCTTCCCCTGCCTGCTCCCTGCCCCCCAATACATGCCTCCAGTTCAGACAGCGGTTCCAGCCCTATGTCCAGTACTGCCTGAGAGTGAAGCAGACCATGGCTTATGCCCGGGAGCAGCAGGACAGCAGCCCTCTCTTCCGTGCCTTCGTGCAGGTGGGAGAAGGGGTGCCGGGAAAGGGGGATAGGGCGGACCCTAGACAACCAAGTCGCCCCCGATCTCCAGCTGAGCCCAATCCCTAGGGCAGGGCGGGAGGGGGCTGCAGACTGCTGACCCTATGCCCACCTACCCCGGCAGTGGTGTGAGAAGCACAAGCGCTCAGGAAGGCAGATGCTGGGTGACTTGCTCATCAAGCCCCACCAGCGCATTACCAAGTACCCGCTGCTGCTGCAGGCTGTGCTCAAGAGGAGCCCCGAAGCACGAGCACGCCAGGCCCTGAATGCTATGGTAGGTGGCCTGGCAGGGCCGGGACCCTGGAGAGGCAGGGGCTGGTGTATGGAAACTGCTCTGCAGGAACTCTCAAGGATCTCTTCTCATGCGTATGTGACCGTGCGGTACAGGCTGGATGGCCCGTGTGAGAATGCTGTGGTTGTCATCGATTGGGCGGGATGTCCAGGGTGCAGAGCTGAGCTGCTCCCCCCTGCTCTCACCTAGATTGCTGCTGTGGAGTCATTCCTGCAACACATCAACAAGCAAGTCCGCCACAGCGAAGAGCAGGAGAGCTTAGTGGCTGCAGCCCAGCGCATGGGGCCCTACGAGGTGCTGGAGCCATCCAGCGAGGAGATAGAGAAGGTGAGAAAGGG